GTGGGGGGGGTGGGGGTGTATTGGGGCCGGGGGGGGCCCTGCCGGGAGCAGCTTCGGGCCCAGAATCAGGTGGTTGAAGGCGCCGAGAGCTGGAGGGTTGGGTGGGAAGGAGGAACCTCGTGAGGTGAAGGCGCCGAGAGCTGGAGGGTTGGGTGGGAAGGGAAGAACCTCGTGAGGTTCACCAAGGGCAAGTGTGAAGTTCTGCATCTGGGGAGGAACGAGCCCAGGGGGCTGCACAGGGTGGGGAGCAGCTCTGGGGACAAGGACCTCAGGGTCCTGGTGGGCAACAGGGCTCATCCCACCTCCTGTCCTGGCTCCTCCTCCTTCCCCAGCCCAAAGGAGGAGGTTGGAGGGGTTGTGTCCATCAAGGAGCAGCTTCTGGCCCAAAGTCGTGTGGCTGAAGCCACCGTGAGCTGGAGGGTTGGGCAGGAGGAGCCTCGTGAGGTTCAGCCTGAGCAGCTGGGGAAGTTCTGCATCTGGGGGGGAACGAGCCCCTGGAGCAGCACAGGGTGGGGGGACCTGCTGGGGAGCAGCTCTGGGGACAAGGACCTCAAGGTCCTGGTGGGCAACAGGGCTTGTCCCACCTCCTGTGGTGGTTACTGAGGTAGCTTGTGGTGGCCCTAGAACAACTCTGAAGGGTGGAGCAGGGAGATGTAGCAGCCTCAAATCTGAGGGGGGGCAACACCCAGGAGGAGCTGAGGAAGGTTTGAAGAGCAGCAGGAGGGTGGAAAGTGGCTCCAACCTCCCCAGCCCTTCATCCTCCAGTGGGAATGGGTCTTGTTGGGAAGCCTAGTGAAGGAAAGACTCTCTGAGCACCACCTGAGCTTCTGGGGAGAGTCAGGCCACGTCGAGTGTTGGGTTTCCTGGGATGCTGGCAGGAGATGAGGACCTGAGCCCCTTTCTGCCCCCACCCCCAGGTGCTCCCCCATCCTGCTCGGCGCTGGTGGCCCTGCTGGCCCTGGTGATGGTGCTCAGTGGGGTCCTCCTGTGGCTCAACCTCCAGAGCAGATGCATGGTCCAGGCTGGAGGTGACAACCCCCATCCCTCTGTCCCCTTCCACCACTGCTCCAGCCACCCTGAATCCAGGGGGATGTGGAGGTGGGAGCCAGGGGCCTGGTGACATCACATTGTCCCCTCTCTGTCCCACAGCCCACCCCAGGGACCAGGGGACCACCTCCTTCCAGCCCACGGGGGCCATCTACCTCCCCAGCAAGACAGAAGCCCCCGAGGACACTGAGACAGCTCAACTCATGAGAGAAGATCCTGCCCCGTGATGCCAACCCCCCCAAGAGGTCCCACCAGGCTCCAGTTGTCCCCACTTCACCTGCTTCCCTGAAGCCTTCAAAGAACCAACTGATGGGCAGGAGGACGTTTTGGAAGCAGCTGGTACAAATGACTTGGACCAGGAGGTCCTAAAGAGCTGCCCAAGGGGTGGGTCTCCCAGTGTGGTGGGTTTTTTTAACCCACCTCAGCACCCTTGGCTCACCAGGAGCCTGAGGAACCTGATGGTTTGGCAGACCACCAGGACCTCCTCCTGGTCCTACAGGAGCAGAAGGAGGGGTGCAAACCAATTAAAGGGGGTCCCCAACCCTCTGGTGGTGATGAGTGTGAGTGTTGGGTGTGGGACACGAGCTCCTGTGGTGGGTCCTTCCTGCCTCTGCTGGCAAGACATGCCAGGTGACCTCCCACCCACGTCAGGTGGAGAAGGTACTGGGTGGGAAGGAGAACCCCAGAATGGTTCAGGTTGCAAAAGACCTTTAAGATCATAAAATCCAACCACAACCCAACTCCACAACCCAACTCTATCCACCATGAACCCAACTTGACCAACCACAACCCAACTCCACAACTCAGCTCCACCAACCACCAACCCAACTCCACCAACCACAACCCAACTCCACCAACCACCAACCCAACTCTATCCACCACTAACCCAACTCCACCAATCACAACCCAACCTGACCAACCACAACCCAACTCTATCCACCATTAACCCAACCCCACCAACCACAACCCAACTCCACAACCCAACTCTATCCACCATGAACCCAACTCCACCAACCATCAACCCAACTCAGTAACCCGTACACCAGTAACCCGACTCTACCAAGCCCAGTGCTTAACCCATGTCCCTCAGCACCATCTCCACGTCTCTTAGACACCTCCAAGGATGGAGATTCCAGCACCCAGTGGTTATTGACCCTTCCAGTGAAGAAGCTGTTCCCAAGACCCCACCCACACCTTCCCTGGACCAACTTGAGCCCAACTCCTCTTGTCCCATCACTTGTTCCTTGGGAGAAGAGCCCAACCCCCCCTTGCTCCAACCTCCTATGAGGGAGTTGTGAAGGTGAGACCACCAAGGGCTGGACCAGCACCAGAAGCCCCAGTCAAGACCCACCTTGATGGGTAACGAGGCAGAAGCTTCATTAAATAACCAACCTGTAATTAGTGTGGAGAGCACATCCCACCCCACCCCGTTCCTGGCACTCTGGGAACTGTAGGAAAAACAGGAGTCAGGGTGAGACCCAGGACCTCCAGAAGTCCAAGGGGACAAGGGCACCAACACGGGGTGAGGACACTGGTCTCCTGCCACCACCCCCAGCAGCCAAGAGGGGACAATTCCAAACTCTGGGAGAGCTCTGGGAAACCAGAGGAAGAGGAGGAGGATCCAGAGAGCAGGTTGTGTCCTGCTTTGTCCATGTCTCAGCCAGGTTCCTGCCTGGAAAGTCCCAGGAGAATCTAGAGAAGGTTCCCAACGTGGAGAACAGGGTGTCCCCTTTGCTTCTGCTCCCCACCAGGGTCCTGGGGCAGAAGATGATGGATTCATTAACCAGGTCATTAGCAGCAGCAGGAGAAATGGACGGAAAATTGAATCCCAAGGATCTCCAGGGGTTGGGAGGAGAGGAGCTGGATCTGTCCCATGATCCTTCACGCTGCCTGTACCGTTGTCCCATCCCCTTCCCAAAAAATCAGGCAGGGAACAGGGTGTCCCCTGGGAGACCCCAGCCCAGGCTGAGCCACCTTCAACTGGGATGACTGGGAAGGGGGATTTTGGGATGACTAAAGATGATCAGCTTCCAAAGGAGAAGGCTCCTGTGGACCCACCAGCCATGGCAGGAGCCAGCAGGAGCTTCCAGCCACCCCTGATGGTCCCACAGGGACCCCCAACCACGGACAGAGGAGGAGACCACAGTGTGGGACCAGGTTTGAAACTCAGGAGAAGCACCACAGCTTTTTGGAGGGTCTTGGGGTGCACGGAGGGTGTCCCTGTTGTGGACCTTCAGGCTGTGGCTGTAGGTGACCCTTCCTGACCTCACAGATGAACTTCTTTGACCCCACAGACATGGGGCTGGTCACCACAAGGCTGGCCCACCACCAGCGTGCCCACCACGAGCTTCCAGCCACCCACAGGGACCCCCAACCACAGCCAGAGGAGGAGACCACACTGTGGGTCCAGGTTTGGTGCTTACAAGAAGCACCACAGCTTTTCAGGTGGTCCAGAGGTGCACGTAGGTTGCCCACCCATAACCTGGGCCTGATCTTCTGGGGGTGGTGGCACCTTGGTGTGTGTCCCCATCACACACACACACACACAGGAGGTGGGCTCAGCCATCCCTGTGCACCCTCTGGTGCTGCAGCAGGTTGGAGGGGTGGGCAAAGCCCTTGTCACACACGCTGCACTTGTAGGGGGTCTCCCCCGTGTGGACCTTCTCGTGGACAGCCAGGTAGGCCAGGTCCTTGAAGAACTTGTGGCAGAAGCTGCACTTGTAGGGCCTCTCCTGGCTGTGGACACGGTGGTGCTGGAGGAGGAGGGAGGGCCTGGCAAAGGCTTTTCCACAGGCCTCACACTTGTAGGGCCGTTCCCCCGTGTGGGCCCTCTCGTGGATCACCAGGTAGGACGACTGCTTGAAGGCCTTCCCGCAGGTCTTGCAGACAAAAGGTCTCTCCCCCGTGTGGACCCTCTCATGGGAGGAGAGGGCGTTGGACTGTTTGAAGCCCTTCCCACAGAGGGGGCAGACAAAGGGGCGGTCGCCCGTGTGGACCCTCTCGTGGACCTTCAGGCTGTGGCCGTAGGTGAATTTCTTGCCACAGACGCCGCAGACGTGGGGTTTGTCGTCGCAGTGTTGGCGCTGGTGGAGCAGGAGGGCGTTGGAGGTGGGGAAGTCCTTCCCGCAGTCAGAGCACTTGAAGGGCTTGTCGGGGCAGTGGGTCAGGGCGTGACGCTGGAGCTCGTAGGGGGTTTTGAAGCTCTTGGAGCAGCGGGGACACCGGAAGGGCCTCTCGCCGCTGTGGATGCGCCGGTGCTCCTGCAGGTTGGAGGAGCGTTTGAAGCGCTTCCCGCAGAGCTCGCACCGGAAGGGCCTCTCCTCCGTGTGGACCAACCTGTGGCTCTTGAAGTCCGAGTGGCGCTTGAAGGAGGCCTGGCAGAGGTCGCAGCGGAAGGGCCTCTCCTCGTTGTGCACCACCTCGTGGCTGAAGAGCTCCCAGGCCCTCTTGAAGGCCTTCTCGCACACCCCGCACTGGAAGGGCTTCTCGTCCACGATCACCTGCCGGATCTCCAGCTCGCCCACCTCGCTGCCCACCTGCGTGGGGTGGTTTGGGAGCCCCACGGCCACCTCCTCCAGCTCGCCCACCCTGCCCCCCAACACCAGCTTGGCCGTGGAGTAGATGCCACGTTCGTCGATCAACTGGACAAAGTCCGGCTTGGGGTGGGAATGGTCGGGATCGGGAGAGCAGGAGCGAGACCTTCGCTCCTCCTCCTCTTCCTCGCTGCTCCTTGGAAGCTCCTCCAGCCCGTTCTCCACCTCCCTCTGCCTCAAGTCTCCCCAGATCAACCTCAGCCTCTTCCCACGGGAAGGTCCAGGCTCTTCCAGACTCTCCTCCCATCCTGGAGATGTTGGGAAGGGGCGACTCGTTTCCGGCTTCAGGAGCAGCCGGTGCTTCCGCCGGCGCGGCCGCGGGTTCTCCAGGGCTTCGTGGGATGGAGAAGATCCTTCATCCTCCTCATCCTCATCCACCTTCTGGCAGGACCTGCCTGCCCCCCGAGGGGCTGGAGACCCCTGCCCACAGCAGCACCGTCCTGATTCCTCCAGGGAAGGTGGTTCCAGGGAGACTTCTCCTGGATCTCCTCTTGGTTGCACCTTCTCCTGAGCTTCTTCTTCTTCGTCTTCTTCACCTTCTGGTCCATCTCCTTGGGAAAGGGGGGAGAGCCTCTGGGAAAAGGGGGGCTCGCAGGCTGGAGGACCTGGCTGCCCTTCCATGGCAGTCCTGGAAAAATGGGGAAGGACAAAGAGTGAGGAGGGCAAGAGGATGAGGGAGGAGGTAGGACTATGGTGGTGGCAGCAGAAGGGAGAGATGGACAAGAAGGTAGGGAGACTCCAGAGGGAGAGAGAAGTCATCTGGGTTGGGAGGGACCTCTGGAGACCCCCCAGTCCAGCCCCCTGGAGAGCAGGGTCACCCCCAGCAGGTCCCACAGGAACACATCCCGATGGGCTGGGATGTCTCCAGGGATGGAGGCTCCACCACCTCCCTGGGCAGCCTGGCCCGGGGCTCTGGGACCCTCAAGGTCAACAAGTTCCTCCTCAGCTTCAGGTGGAACCTCCTGAGCTCCAGTTTGTCTGAGCTCCAGATGCTCTAGAGGGGCAGCAGCTCTGGGGACAAGGACCTCAAGGTCCTGGTGGGCAACAGGGTGACCATGAGCCAGCAGGGTGGCCTGGTGGCCAAGAAGGCCAATGGGCTCCTGGGGGGCAGCAGGAAGAGCGCGGGCAGGAGGGCAGGGAGGTTCTCCTGCCCCTCTGCTCTGCCCTGGTGAGTCACAGTGTGATGGGGGTTGGGAGGGACCTCTGGAGACCCCCCAGTCCAGCCCCCTGGAGAGCAGGGTCACCCCCAGCAGGTCCCACAGGAACACACCCCGATGGGCTGGGATGTCTCCAGGGATGGAGGCTCCACCACCTCCCTGGGCAGCCTGGCCCGGGGCTCTCCAGGGGTTCCTGCCACCCTCCCTATACTGGGATTCTACAGACACTTCCAGTCTTCCCAGTATCAACCAGACTCATCTCAACCCCCACTCCCATTCCAATCAGACCCCCCAGTATATCCCAGTCCCTCCCAGTATGAACCCCCTCACCTCTCTGTGCTCCACCTCCTCCATCACAACCACAACCTCCCAGCACATCCCAGTCCCTCCCATCTCAATGACTTCCCCTTCCCTAATTTCAACCAGACCCCCCCCAGTATATCCCAGTATCAACCAGACCCTCTCCCCTCACCATCCTCCCCCATTCCAGAATAACCAGCCCTTCCAGTATAAACCAGACCTTCCCAGTATGAACCAGCCCTTCCCAGCATAAACCAGACCCTCTCATCTCACTGACATCCCCATTCCCATTTCAACCAGACCTTCCCAGTATGCTCCAGTGCCTCCCAGTATGAACCAGAACCCCCTCACCTCTCTGTGCTGCCCCCACCCTTTCTAACCAAAACTCCCAGTATGCTCCAGTGCCTCCCAGTATGAACCAGAACCCCCTCACCTCTCTGTGCTGCCCCCACCAAATTATCATTCTGCAGTGTAATGGGAATTGCCACTGAGTAAACCTGTCTAGGGAGCTCTCTTCTTTCTGACCAGAATCCAGTGACTGTTGCTGAGTAGGAGACAAAAAGAAGATAGTTTAAAAATAACATGGTCCAAGGGAAAGAGTC